TTTTTTGGGGGGGGGGGTCCTTATTCCAATTATAGGAGAAGATGCCCCAAAACCCTATTCTGACTTTGAAGGCCCCGTTTTTACTGGAGGGGCCCTGGCAATCAGAGTATCGTTCTCTGGCATCTATTACCCTAAGGGTCCAGGTACCCAAATAGTAAGGTTTCAAGGTCCAAAAACCATTCAGGGTATGGATTTTGGGACCTAGAACCTTACTATTTGGGTACTCGGACCCTCTGGGTTATGCTCTTTTTTCCTTGGAACAGCTTTGGGCAATTAAACTACTTGGTCTTCTACATTGCCGGGTTTGGGGTCCGGCGGTTTAGGGTTTAGGGTTCAGGGTTTAGGGTTCAGGGTTTAGGGTTTAGGGTTTAGGGTTTAGGGGGCTTTGGGTATGAACCATGGTTCGGAGAATTTATGTAAAGTTCATGTCTGATGGAGTTTAGGGCTGCGGGTGAGTTTCGCAGGTCGGTGGCTTCCGCGCACCTGTTTCAATCGTTCTCAGAAAACAGGCAACCATAGTCTTCAAGAGTTTGGCTGGGGAGCTTGAGCAATTTTAGCCTTACCTGTGGCCTAAGAGACCTACCGTGTTAAGGAGCCATAGATAGAAACCATAATAAGGGACCCTAAAGATGTAGGTCTTTTCGGTTACAGGTAAGCCCAAACCCTTAACCGCCGGAGGCATCCTTTGCGGGACTAGTAACCTCGTAGATTTTTCTTGTAGGCAGAGGCCAGGTATGTACCTGAACCCTAAACCCTAAACCCTAAACCCTAAACCCTAAACCCTAAACCCTAAACCCTAAACCCTAAACCCTAAACCGTATATCCCTGAATCAGCCGTGCCCGGGTTGAAGGATCCACACCGAGTTTTTGAAATCAAGGGAGTCGGGGTTTCCAGGTATCTCCCTACCTTAAGAACCCAAAACCTACTTTTTTGTAGGGTCCCTATAAATCCCATATTAGGGTTTATAATAAGAACCCACCAAAAAGTGGGTTTTGGGTTCTTAAGGGAAGCCCTGAATCCTAAACCCTAAACCTAAATCCCTTCGTGCCGAGCTGCCAAGCAGTGGGCGAGGTCCCTTGAATATCTGCATGGCCTGGCGAGCGATATGCCAGGATCTCAGAATACTCTGCATGCTGTAGGGATGGTTTAGGTCAGCACTATTTGTCCTTAATCCGGTCTCCAACTTTTTGAGGTTTACTATAGGGTGTGGGTTTATGTTTTAGGGTTTAGGGATTTTTGTTTGTTTTAGTCTGGTTTCAGGGCTTGTGGGTGTAGGGCATCGAGGTTCGTTCAGAATGTTTGGGGTTTCAAGCATGCTGGAGGTAGGGTCCAGCGTATGTCAGGGTTCGCAACTGGAAGTAGTAATAGTGTTACAGCATTCTGCGTAAACTGTTTCGTGTGCAAACATAGACCTCCTAGCCCAGTTGTAGTTAACAGAACAAATTACGGCCCCAAATAATGGCGAAGGTTATGCTTCAGGCTTGGATACCCATCGTTTTGTCTTAGGACACCTATCAATCCTCAGGCCTTACTTAATCATCCAGAAAACCTACACTCCCAACTAATCCTAAACCGGAAGCTTTTTTATTTAATACCAGCCCTGGACTCACGAACAAGTCGATTCCATTCTAGTTTGGGGATCCAAATATCCCCCAATGTACCTTTCGGCCCCAAGACCCCTCCTACTTCATACCCTTTTGGGGTCTAAGGCCCTCCAAAGCTACATCGGGTTTAGGTTTGAGGGGCTTATGCTGAACCCGCAAACC